AGAGACAAATGCATCCATTGAGCTGACCCTATCCAATGTCGGTCATCGACCATTTAAGCCCGACATTTATGGTCCACATATCACGGTCGTGCGACAAATTCGTCAATCATCTTCGACGTATGAGATAAAAGATTCTCATCACAGAACGGTATCCAGGAAACTGGATGAAATACGACGGATGATCCTTTATTTTGGCATAAGTGTTGAGAATCCAATATTTGTGCTCAATCAGGAAGCATCGCGTGAATTTCTTAAAGAGTAAGTTTATAATTTATAAATTATCTAATGATGTCATGATATATTTCGTATTCCCCAACAGTCTTGAGCCCGCATCAAACTACAAATTGTTCATGAAGGCAACGCAGCTGGATTTATGTGCGAACAGCTTAACTCAATGTCACGAACATCGCGAACATATAAATTATGATGTACAGCTACTTAAAATGGTAAATTAGTAGTTAATTTGAATAAAGACTTAATAATATAATTTCGTTATTATATTAAGAAACTGCAAAAACTGAAGAGTCTGTGCCACGAAGAAGAGGAAAAATTGGCAATAATTAAAAATGAAGAAGCACTTAAGGTAAAAGGACAATATTTAGTTTTGTGCAATATGTAACATTTAATTTTCTCCTATGTAGATTAAACTGAAAGAGGCTACAACAATGCTGGCTTGGATAAAGGTATCTCATATCCAGGATGATCTTACTAAAATCGAGCAAACTCTTAAAATAATTGAGAAGAAGAATGCGGATCTGTCACAAAAAACCACCCAGAAAACCAGCACACAAGAGGGCATCGCTCACGCTCTTCAGTAAGTAAAGAAATTCTCTTAATTGAATATATTTATAATATTTTGTAATCTGATTGTAGAGAACTTGAGCAAACCAAGCAACGGATTATGGAAAATTATCAGGCGCAGGAAAATGCGCTCAGGTCTGCTAAGCGAATTGCTCAAGATTGTCTTTTGAAAGCCAGCTCTTTTAAGGCAAGCATTAAGAATGTAGAGAAGCGTTTGAGGGAGGAGCAGACAAACTTCGAGGGCTGTCAAAAGCATATGAATAACTACCACGCAGACTATTCAGAAGTTAAAAGGCTTCGGGAGGAAAATGCTGCCACGCTAGCGACCCTTAAGGAGAAAGTGGCGCAGAGGAATGAACTAATTGCTAGACTCAGAGATGAACAAGGCGAACTAAGAAATCGATTAACAGCAGCCAGAGAAAACTTGGAGTCTACAAAGAATGAAATTACCAAACTGCATAAAATGGAGCGTATGTATAATAGCGAAGCAGGACCTTAATTAGTTTTTGGTAATTAATTTTTGTCAATTTTAGAAAGCCTGCAGTGGGAAATGGAGTCTCTATTACGGAATAAATCCAACAAAATGTCAGTTTATGGCGAGCACGCAATGGAAGTCGCCAATGCGTTGCGTGCTCAATACAGCGGCAGCAACGCGAGCCAAATGCCGCGTGGACCTATTGGCATGTACATAACTGTACCTAATCCAAAGTACAGAGATCTAATTGAGAATCAATTATCCCATTGCCTGCGGTCGTACATAGTTAGCTCAGACAAGGATAGAATGTCGCTTAGAGCTCTGTTGCAGAAATCGTATGCAGGTGGTAATATGCCCACCATTGTTACCAGTCCGTTTACAAACCGGGTCTATAATGTCTCCAAGTACAAAGTGCAATGTAGATCTTCAAATACGACTGTGCTGATGGATGAGATAAGGTAAGTTGAATTTTGCAATTTGTAGCCCAACATTTTCGATTACATTTTCCTGTTTTGTTTCATATTAGATGTGAGGATCCCGTCGTAATGAACTATCTTATTGATACATTGCGCATTGAGACGGTGTTGCTTACTGACTCTAAAGAGACAGCCGAATCGCTGACATCGAGTATGGAAAACGTGCCACCTAATTTGACTCGTATATTAGTTCCAAGCTTGGGGCTGGAATATTGTCCATCGCCCAACTATGCCATGTACTCCATTCAAATATCACCTGCGCGATTCATTCAGGTGAATGTCGATGATCGCATTCGACAGCTGAAGGCTGAGCAAAATAGTCTGCAGGAGCGTGCTGCAAATCTACAGCCCCATTATGCTAAAGCCAAGTTAAAGTTGGAAACTGACGCACGGGAAATAAGCGCAAAAAGTGATATGATTAACGCCCATCACACTGAAAACACAACAGCGATGAAAAAAATTATGGATATTGAGAACTTTGAGTATCGGGAATTTCCTGCTTTTGACGTTCTAGTAAGTTGGGGCGAAATTGACATTAAATGAAATCGAATATATTGTTTCATTCTATCCGTTTAGGAAACTCATTTAACGACAAGCCGTGAGAAGATAGCAAAATTAAAGGAGGAGCGTAGTATATTGGAAAATCAACTTCGAGAAATAGCCGAGCGTAGTGCTCAAGCTAACGAAGAAACTAAAAAAGAACAAAGTATTCTCGACAGTCTCAATAAAAAAATTGCCGAAATTGATGCGAAATCTCAGGAATTACAAACAAGGGCTAGAGACTTGGATCGACATTTTGAGGAAAACCAACGACGGTTGAAACAAACTGACGAATTACTTAAAACAACGAAAAAGGATAAAAAAGATAAGGAAGCCGAACTAGAAGCAGCTCGCCAGGAAGCGCAGAAAGTCGGTGAATTTATTGAAACGAATAAATCGGAAGAAAACATTCGTGATCAAATTAGCCGTTATAAAGCGAAGATAAAACAATACGAGTCGATGAAACTGAATATGGAAGAAGTGGAGCAAAAGCTATCCAAATTGCGTGATCTTCTAAAAACAGAGTCTGATATTCTGGACAATATTTTATGTGTCGTAGAGAAATTGCGCATCGAATATCATTCTCGAGCCCAGCGATTTCAGCGTTCACGTCATCATTTCTTTACCATGGTAGAGTTTCACTTTAAGCAAGCACTAATCTGTCGACAATTTGAAGGTAATCTGGAACCCAATCATAAAGATAAAACGCTGAAGATCAGTGTTTACCCACCCAGTGGTAATAAGACTTCAAATATGAGAAGCTTATCCGGAGGCGAAAGGTCCTTCACCACGGTATCTTTACTGAAAGGCCTTTGGAGTACTTCTTCTCATCCATTTTATTTCCTCGACGAATACGATGTTTTTACTGTAAGTATCAAGCGTTTATTGATCAATTCGATTATCATATAAATTTTTTGTATATTTGTAGGATGAAGTGAATAGAACTTTTATTACTAAATTACTTATTCAAGAGGGAATAGACTTCCCCAACAGACAATATTGTTTCTTAACTCCACAAGATACAAAAGTCGATGCGAACCACCTCATTACAGTACACAAGTAAGTATATTTTGATTTTTGATATATTTAACTAATTGCTCCATCTGTTTATTTTATTTCAGATTGGAAAGACCTGATCGGTAATCTAGAGCTTATTTTTTCTCAAACATTGGTTGCTGGACGACTGCTCTTATAAATAGACGAAAAATCTTTATCAGATGTTATTTATTAGTTTCATGGTATTTATAGTTGGTATTATTAATAAATATATGTAAAGTTCTTTAAAAATTTTTGGAAAATATCTTAGATATCAAGGACCGTAACGATTATAATTTTTATAGTAAAAATTATAAAAACAAGAATTATTTTTTGAGTAAATAAAAAAATTATTCTTAATTATCATAAATAATGTATATGATGAAAACCAAAAATAAGTAGTACAGATAAATTTTTATATAAAAATATTTTTAAATTTGTATTATTCATAAAAATAACGGTGTGGCAACTCTGAGTAGGCTGGCGTGGCAACGCAAAGTTACCCGATTGTCACGTTCAAGCTGCATGACATGAATTAATTAATGCCGTTTCTGTTATTGGTCTTCTATTATTATTATTTTTTTTTTTTGCTCTATTAGTATATATATTATTAGTATATATATATTTTATTGCTTCCAGTTTAGATAAATTTTTAACATTTACATATTGGTATGTAGCTTCATGCCAAACAGTTGACATGTGGCCATCATACTGGTTAAGTGTTGCCAGACTATTCTAACCAAATAACCTAAAAACAAGACCGAACACAAACGGCATCCCGGACATTTTTATTATTTATTTCTTATTTATATGTATTTATAAATAATAAAAATGAGCCGAAACTATAAAGAAGATCAGATCAATGAGGTTGAAGCCCTCGATTCTATATATTGCGGCGAAATGGAAGGTAACTCGAATTGTGTTCTTTCAAAACAATAATAATAATAGGTATGATCGTAAACTCTCTATTGCAGTCCTACAAACGGAGCCTTTTCACAAATTTCAAATTCCTATCGCCACGGAGGAGTACAATGCTGATGCAGCGGAAGACAGTGAAAAGGGCTTAGCTTGCAAACTTGTGTTTACGTACACAGCGTTATATCCAGACGAAGCGCCGCTGGTGGAAATTGAGGAAGCAGAAAATTTTGAAGAGAATTTCGAAGCAAAACTGCTGGAACATTTGCGCAAGACCATTGAGGAAAATATTGGCATGGAGATGATATTTTCTTTGGTCAGTAGTGCACAGGAGTGGTTGAATGTACAGTGGGACGAGCACAAGAAGAATCAGGAGGATGAACGAGCACGCAAGGTCCAAGAAGTCGAAGAAGCAGAAAGAAAGAAATTTGAAGGCACACGAGTGACCGTTGAGACTTTTATGAAATGGAAATTAGAATTTGAGGAGAGTACCGGTATTGCTGCCAAGCGAGAGAAGAACAATGACAGCAAGAAACTGACAGGCCGAGAGCTATTCATGTGCGATAACACATTGAACGACTCGGACATCAAATTCTTGTTGGAGGCCGGCGAAAGTCTCGAGAATGTTAAAATCGATGAAACCTTGTTCCAAGATATTGGTGAACTGGATCTAGATGATGACGACGATGAGGATTGGGTACCCGGGGCCGATGACGACGACGATTAAGCCACTCTGCGATATTAAAATAACACTCACATAAGGCATACTTGTGTATTGTAAACAAAACAGCTTAACTCTCAATGATGGCTCTATTTAGTTACTACAATAAAATGCTAGTGTGTTATCAATCCAATGCATTGGGATTTTCTAAACTCATTTCGGATAATTTAAGTCCATACTTTTGAACAGATTGAATGTCGTCCAAGTCGAAGAACTCCTCATCACTCTCAACTGCTTTTCGGTTGCTCTGATCAGTGTCCTTCTTTACAGCTGGGAGCACATCACGAGGAAAATTAAGTTTTGGCCATGATCCTGGCTCCAGCTTCGGCAATGTAATCTCAACCTTAGTACCCAACATTTGTGCAGAAGCCTTTTGTACATTGACAATCTAAGAAAATATTGTATTCAATGAGATGACTTTCAAGTCATATTTAAAATTTTGCATACTTACACCGCGCAGTTCTAGGTCCAAGTCAAATTTAGCATTTTCTTGCTCTGGGAAGACGAGCATAACATGCAAGCGTATTGGGTTGACTTCAACAAGACTTTCCGCGTAATGATATTTTTTGGCATAGACGGCGACAACAACATTTGTAGCTGTCTGATGCCAATCATATCGGCATTGAATAACCTTTTTGTCATCATCCTGCAAAACATTAAGAGATTAGTCGAATGTTCCAGAATATTGATTACAAATAACTTACATCCTTAACAAATTTATGTTGACCGTACACACAGCCTTTTTGGGCCATGAACTGAGCAAAATCTGAGGTACGTTTTTGACAGCATGACCAAAACTTCATGCCCTCGTGGAAAATGGGAACGCCAGGATGGTAGGTGCACTCGCCAAAGTCGCTGCTGGTGTTCGTATAGGAGTAAGTGCAGCCACTGTTTTTGCAGCTTGTTCCCACAGCAATGGTTCTAAAAATATAACATATTTACATAATAAACACAGTGCAATATAATTTAAAAAAAAATCTTAGTTACCCATCGCTATCTGCCGCTGCAACTGGCGCAGCAACACCGCTGACTTTTAATTTATCAATGGTGTCCTTTAATGCTGGAGCCACTGTTGGCTTAAGGACAGTAAAAGGCGTATCAATCGGTGGTCTAGGCAGTGATTCCTTAATGGGTGCACGTACTTCAACTTCCACAGCCTTCTCCTCATCTTTGTTATCCTTGGCAGGTTTTTCTGGTTCGGGTGGCTTAATGTTTGAATGCTTACCCAATGTGCAGCCCTTGATGTTAAGAAATTCTGTGAAATCTACCGACTTTTTGTTGCAACATGACCATCCTTTGTAGGCATCATGAAAAAATGGAGCACCTGGATGATGCCGGCACGATTCTGCGAAAAGAAAGTGTTCGTAGTATTAATTTTTTTGTATATTGAGCTTTACTTACCATCAGAATTGGTGGCTGGATCGTATTGTTGTCCACAACCTCTGTTATAGCATTGTTCCATATTTATTTGTAATATTTTATATCTATTTTTGGTAATTCTGGTCTAGAATCTTCGCAAATGAAAAGACATATGGCGGCACGTCGATAGACACCCATTGAAGCTGCCAACTTGACTTGAAGTACAACATTCGCCGTTCAATGTGTTGAAAAACGTGAGCATATCAAAGAAACGGTTTTTCGATATTTTGTTTTTGTCGTTTTTTTCGTTATTAAATCAATTAGAACAAACAAACCGGTATTAGGAACTCGCACGATATGAATGTATAGAAAGGCAAATAGTAATAAGAAAACAATTAACGCAATCAGACAATGCAAATTATGTTAATTATATATCAAATTAGCGGGTTCATTTCGAAAGGGTCTTTAAACTTGTTAGTATGTGCTGAAACCGGAATTAAAATACAAATCAATTAATGCAAATGTACCGAAGGTCAGTTCGGTTTTTCTTTTTGGTTGACGTGATTAATGTACAGGATTTGCTAGACGAAACACTCAAAAAGGTGTGTGCTGACAAATTGTGAGTCACGTAGCACAGCTAATTAAAAACAGGAATGGTAACGAATTCAAACAATACTGCAGTCGTTGTTTGCTCGAAGGCTCAAACTTTATTCCAAACAATATTTTTTTGCTTGTTGTGGTGCGATTTATATGTATATTCATATGCACACAGATACATTTATATGCAATTCTTAGATACGTGGGACATGCTTACAGTTTCATTTATTGCCTAAGGCGACAAGACATAAATATTGCTTGCAGTCAGCAAATTGTCATTTCATTGAAAATTCTTGTGGTCAACAAGGTTATCAACGGTGCGATGACTGTCAATTGGCAGTGCTCGATTGCGATTGGCCTTTGCCGTTCTGGCCGCACTTAATACGAATTATGACAGGCCTGGGCGCCCGCCGCGTCATGTGGCTCGTCTGCACTCACACTTTGACCATTCCAGTTTCGGGCAGTGAATCATGCAGCCGTCACCATTAATGATCTCTTTGGGATAGTGTTGTTGTTGTTGCTGTTGCTTTGCATTGTTACTCAATCGCTAGAGAATTGTTGACTTTTTTTTTCATATTTCGCGCAGCTCTGCAACTTCTGACAACTGCGGCATACACTCAGACATTTGCAAATAAATAAAGAAATACAAAAATTGGGGGCTTTATTTGTGCTGTTGTTGGAAATGTGCCCCAGTGTCAATGGAAATTAACACCGCAGGCACCGGCTTGGCCTATTCTAGGCGTCTACGTAATTTAACATACAATAGCAAGCGCCAACTGCAACAGCAGCAGTAGCAACAACAGCAACGGCCACGGCAACGGCAACAATATAATGGCAGCATGCAATAGTCTACGGTGGCATGAAATGCTGTTGTAAAATGCAAAGGCAAAGGCAAACGCAAAGGCAAACGCTTGCACAGATTTCTTGCAATCAAACAGTAACAAGCGAATAAACATTCCATTCCATGCCAGATGACGATGACGCGTATTCAGTTCACACTTTAATGGCGGCTACCGCGACGATTTGGGCTACTGTTGGCGTGGGCGTTGCCGATCGATAAGCATCGCTTGGGCCTGCATCTCTGGTAGATGTTTATGTATGTGTGATATAACATGAACGAAATTATGCAACAAGTCAACAATAACAAATATTACAGCAGTGATAACAAATGTTGATTTGTTCGCTTAACGCTTGCTCGCTCTCAAGTTCGTTTCCTGAGTCTTTCGTTTTGTGCATGCATTAACAACTGCAAGGCAGCCAAAAAAAATCACACACACACAAAAGCAAGATATATTGCTGCACACTTGACTGCACGACAACACGACGCACAAAAGTTAAACACAAATTGCATATTTTACACATTTATTTACAACATCGTTAGATATTTGCCTAGGCGCCTCATTAACTGACTACTTACACATGACTCGACTCCCAACTCTCTCTCTCTCTCTCTCTTTGTCCCTCTCCATGTCTTTCGACTGTTGGGCTGGCATCCCCGTTGCCTTAGATGTATGTGTACCGCGTATTGTATGGACTGGTATAATAGTTGAATGTTGCATACGATGTGTCGGGCGTCTGAAATGTGGTGCTGAAATATGTTGGATCCACGCCGCCAGCTGCCGCTGCAACTGCTGCCACCGCTGCGAATTGGACAGTAAAGAGGGACACAACAAAAAAACAAAAGAAAAACAAAAAACAAAACAGAAAGACATTGTCAATTGATTTGGCGGCCATTCGGATTTTGGCATTACTACAAATATAATTACAAATAATAATATTTAGGCTTGGGCGTGTGCACTTGAGATTAGTAGATGATACTTTGCTGCCAATTCGTAACAAAATTCCAACTGTGGGCGTCAGCAGCTGACAAAACACGCTGAAGGTTAGGCGCTTCGTCAATCATGTCGTCAAGTGTTATTGGGCAAGTGTCCAGCTGCAATTATCATTGTGACTGTTGTTGTTGTTGTTGCTGTTGCTCTTGCCACTGGGGCGTTGGCTTCACTTTTTAGAATGCCCCGTTTAATGATTGGTAACATTAACCGACCGTCGTTAGCTGTCCGTATACATATTTTATGGTGGGCGGCTGCAACAACAACAACAGCAACAACAACAACGATAAGAGCAACTGTGGTGCAGCGTTTGCGTCATTGCTGCCACAGCCACAAGCTGGCTAGCCGCAGGCAGTCCTCATCCAGGAAGCATATGCTGCGTAACTATTTTATTTTATGCTTGTATTTTTTTGCTCAGAGAACTTTTAGGCTTGCAAATTTAATTACACAATGGCCTTTTGGCTGGCTGACTGCTTGGCTGGCCAATCGATATCGGTCATTTGGCTACCAGTTGGGCCAATCGTGCATAAATTGTCAAATTGTAAAAATTATCTCAACTTAGTGTCGTTCGTTTGTTCGTTTATTCGTTTGTTCACTCCGTTCATTGTGAAATGTGTTTCCATTGCATTTGTGTACTAAGTAAGTCCAAGTCCTCTGGCTGCTCGCTTGCCTGCCTGAGCTTGGCTTGGCCTACTGCCGCACTAAGGCTAAGCTATAGCAACAAAAAAAAAGTTGCTCCATTTCGTTTTTCTTTGCATTTCTTGGCTCTCAAACGAAAAAACAAATGGCAAAAAGCTATCAAATAAAACGGCTAGAAATACGCAGCTGCAGTTAATCGACTTAAAGATACTCTCCATTGAATTCTTAAATAGTTGCCTGATGCCAGCAGGATATGGTATATAAAGGCAGCCTGGCTCATTTAGTCATACTCTTTTCAATGCCTGCAGGGTATTAAAAAAAGGTAAAAAATGCAAACTACTAACAAATTTTTTGCGCAGCATTAGGCGCGCATATCATTGAGTGTTTCTCTGTTTCTATTGCACCTCCTTTCTCTCTCTCTCTCCCTCTCTCTCTCTGTCTCATATGCAAATATCAGTGCATACGCTCATTGATTTTATAGACAGGCCAGACACATAGCCTTTTGCGGCTTAAGTCTTGATTGCTATAGCAGCACCTGTTGCTGTTGCTGCTGTTGCTGCTGCTTTTGTTGTTGTTGTTGGCTTTGGGGCYTGGGGCTCAACATATTTGCTTGTCGTTAAAATTGTTCATATTTCTTTGCCAGTGTGGGGTACTTAAGGCATCACAGGCTGCCTGCCAAGGGGATAATAGAATTGGCATGTGGAGAGCTATATTGGCAATCAGAGAACAGGCAATGAATAAGCAAAAGCCTTGCCTCAGCCGTGGGCTGCATATACAATATGTATGTATGTATTAGTGCACATTTTTTATACATTTAAAAACGGTTTAATTTATTAATACTCGTAGTATGGCAAGGGAGGAGCTAAAGACCCATATGAAAAATTTCATATCATAAAGATATTAATGTATGAAATTATAAAAGATAATTTAAAAGAAGATTTCGATAATATATATCTGAGTTTTCAAACGGAAAAATTAACATGTTCAATCCATTTAGATTGTATAATAAACAGAAGTAATTCCAAATGTCGAGATTATTTCCATATTTATAAACATATACAGGATAATAATATTTCGTTTGACTTTTGGGATTAAAGCTTAGCTTTAGCTGGCTTGCGACTTTAAGTTGCTAGACTACTTTATAAGTATAATTGAGATATTACATATTGAAATGAAAGATTTAATTATGCTATGCTTAATCATCAGCTATGCCTTCATGCTCAATTTCGACTGAGTCAAGTGACTCCTTCAACAAGTGCTCGTTCAGTGTCACAATATTTCGTCAGCCCCAAACAATTTGGGCGCTTGAAAGCCCACTCTAATGTGAAGCTATTGATAGAGATGTAAAGAGAGAGAGAAAGAGAGAGAGTGTGTGTGTATGTGAAGGTAGTCTATGTCGCGTCGTTACTGTTGTTGGATTCAGCATCGGATCGGCCGTGGCACAGGCCGTCGCTGTTCGATTTGTGCCGCTGCACTTCAAAGGTGTCTTTTGTTAATTAGACGCTTGTTTTGGTGTGCACTTACAATAATTGCTACAAGAAATCATAAGCATACTTGTACGATATTATCAAAAAGCTAAAGTGCTGCATTTGTGAATGTGAAACTCAAAGCAATACAAAATAATTATCGAAAGAAACGAAAAACAAAAACACTCGAAAAAAAGATAAAATATAAATAATAAATAATAAAAATAAAATGCCATGTTGCATTTTTGCTGAAATTTGTTTTCTTGTCTGGCCGAAAGAAGTCAAAATTATTCAAATATAAATACAAATTAATTAAAAATATATTTTTTTTGTTTTTTATAATTTAGTTGTTTATTTTTTGGCTAAAAATAATAGTTACAAATTAAACAAAATAAAAATTCGTAATATGCAAAAGAAAACATAAATACATGTAATAAAAGAGCTGGCCAAATAAAAATAAAAAACATAAAAAGCAAAACGAAAAATAAAATTATTGTCTTCGCAACTAAATAACAATAGTTAGACTAAATGATTGCTAATAAGCAATATTACTTTTACATAGTTTAGTTGTTATTATTATGTTAGCAAGTGCGGCTTATGTGGGTGGGTGTGCGTGTAGGTGTGGGATGGGTTAGGGCTGTTGTTGTGTGTTGTGGCCCACTGTGGGGCTTAGCTTGAAGTTGATTAAGTGCTGCGAACGCTCAAATTGCGATTAACTGTGACGCGCATTTCCGTTTCCGCTGTTTGGCATTGTCTGTGCTGTAACTGAGTGTGAGCTTGTGTGCGTGTGTGTGCTTATGGCTGTGTRTGCGTGTGTGTGTGTGCGTGTGTGTGCAGTTAACCAAAGATTGTGCCTGTGAATTGGACGTGGGTTGGAGGACAATTATTTAACAATAAAAAAACAATATTTAAACACTACTTCAATTGCACTAATAAAGCTTTAAGTGTGTGTGTGTGTGTGTGTGTGAGAGTGAGAGTGTGTGTCTGTGTGGGTGTAGCTGCAAGTGTAGCTGTGAGTGACAATGGCCTAGGCTATGCTATTGTTTAGACCGTACGCCTAAGTGAATTACTTTGCTGTGGCGGCACAAAACCAAAACCAGAGGCGCCAACAACAACACCGCTCGACTCCTCAATCGCATCTGGGGGCGAGGGTGGGAACACAACGGGTCCTGAAAATTACAAAACAAAAATGTATAGAAGAAAACGAAAACATATAGAGCAGGTATGGCATTCAATATACACAATACACAATGTGTAGAGCTTACCTCGATTTTGGCGGGGATCGCGCACCTGCGCAGCAGAGGGCTGTGCCAGGGAGAGGGTGTCGAAGGCAAAGCGGGATCGGGTGGGAAATTGTCCTAGAAAGTATTGCTGGCCGGCAGCAAAGGCCAGGCACAGGCACAGAGCGGCAATGGTGACTAACTGCAAACGGAATGGAAATACAGATATCGTTACGTGTTGGTAATACAGTTGGTAATACGGTCGGCAAGTAGGGCCAAAGCGATTAAACCATTGCAATCTGTGTCAATGCCAGCGTAGCTAAGCATATGGAAAACAATTAAGCGTCTGGCTTGTACCACACTAGAATGCCATTCAGGTGTACTTGAGTCGAGCACGAGCCAAGTGCCAATACCCTGTATTCAGTTCTTAGCGCTGTCTACCCCGTCTCTCTCTTTGTCCATCTCTCTCTCTCTGTTGGATAATGTTTCATATGTAGAGCATTTTGAACGCGTAATTAGCGGCAATTGCATAAAACAATATTTACGACAATTGCCGCAAGAGCGGCTTGAAATGTTAGCCAAATATTTTCAAACTCTCTCACAACGGATCTCGAAAGCTGACCCAATTCGGAGGCAGACAACAGCAGCARCAGCGCCAAATGCATCGAATCTAATGTTGTGATAAGCATGCAGCTTTAGCTCGTTAAGGAGCCAAGAGCTGCGCTTGTGGTCAAGCTTTGTGGAAGCTGTGGCGGCATGCATCAATGGCCCAACTGCAGCATGCTGTGCAAATTGGCTTTGTGGTTATAAATATACACATATACGTATATATGTATATATATATATATCTTTATATATAAATAAAGTGCTGGCTGTCGACTAGGCGCTTGAATTTATTGATTTCCCACTGAATGCTCGACAGACTGGCGCTGCTCGATTGGCAGCTGCAATTGGCAACTGGGCCGCAAGTGTTGCGGGTGTTGTTGCTGCATCCAATGGCTTATTTAAGACCGTCACGCAGTTGCAACAGACGCCACTGCACTGGACGCTAATCATAGGGCGGCAATGACTTAATAGATCGCATTCAGAAACCCAAACTGCCTCATATGAAAGACTTCCAGCTGAATATAGAGATCCATATGCTGTTTTATGGCCAATAATCACACCTCAGCCCACATTCAGTAATATAATTGTGGCTGGCTCTTTGTTATTTTCGTTTTCTTGTTGTGGCTTTGAAAGGTTTTTGCTTCATTAATTACCTAATGGGCCGCGCCTGCAATCTGCATTGCACTGCAGGGCGTATGCGCAATATTTGGTCGAACGCTTGCAGCTCATGTTAATTTTACAGGCATTTTGTTGATTTTGCTACTGCTACTGCAATTGATTTAATATGCAGCAAGTGTTTACGAGCACCCTACAAATATATAAAAAATAAAAAGCCAACAAAAAAGACAACAAGAACAGCAACAACAACGCTAATTGCTATAAGCCAAAATATGCATATATTGTGTATAAGAACAAAAATAACAAGAGCACAAATTGTCTTAAGACTAAATAATAATAAAAAAAAAAAA